GGTCCACTTACTCGTGGGCTTCCTTCATCTTCATAGGATTTCTTTGCCTTAATTTCTAGTGATGGCAGTCGTGGTGTATCACGGGGAGGACGTAGTGGTGGTTGCTATCTGACCCATGGTGGTAGAGGTTCTGGTCGTGGTAGCCGAGGTGGTCGTAATGGTCGGGGTAATCGCTCCAAGTGAAAATTTTCATTTTGTGGAGCTAATGGACATACACAAGATTATTGCTGGGATAAGCATGGAAGGCCAACCTATGCTAATCAGGCCTCTGATGATTTGGCTCCACCTGTGTCTCAACCTTCGACCGCGGCTTCTATTGGATCTCCAACTGGCTCTAATGATGCCCTTACTTCTTAGCTCAGTCAGCTTATCCAACAATTATCTTTATTTTTTTCCCATTTGTCTACTTCTGCAGCTGATTTGGCCAATGCAGGTAATTTTGCACATGTGATAGCTCAATTAGCTTCATCATCTTGGATTATTTATTCGGGAGCTAATGCCCACATGCCTAGTATTTTTTCCTTATTTTCTAACTTTCGTTTCTTTAACTCTTGTATTGTATTAGTTGATGATTCTTTTAAACTAATTCATAAAACTGATGATCTCTATCCTACTGACTCTATGACATTAACATCTGATTTATTTGTCCCACACTTTCTGTTTAACTTGTTATCTGTGAGTCGATTAACCAAGTCTTTACAGTGCTTAGTGAATTTGTATTCATCTTGTGTTTTTCAATACCTCTGGACAAAGAAGGTGATTGGTTTGGGGCATGAGTAGAATGGACTTTACTTTTTAGATTTTAGAGCAACAATTCCTGTCTTGAGTGCTACCATGTCTCTCCTCCAGTGGCATTTTTGATTGGGTCATCCATCACTGCAAAAGCTTTGTCAAGTCATTCATAGTTTGAGTCTTTCTATTATATCAGAATGTGAATCTTATCAATTTGGCAAGCATCACCGTAGTCCTTTTTCTTCTAGTGGTACAAGTCGTCAGTCTAATCCTATTTCTATTGTTTTTTGACATTTGGGGTTCTTTAAGAATAAAAAATATTTCTGAATTTCATTATTTTGTAATCTTTGTTGATGACTAGTCCCGTATGACTTGGTTGTTTCTTATAAAGGATCGCTCTGAGTTGCCTAAAATTTTTCTTACCTTTTACAATGAAATTCTTGTACAGTTTAATAAACATATTAAGATACTTATTCTCATAATGCTCGAGTATGTACAATCCTTTACGCGTACATTTTGTGCCGATCACGGTATCATTCATTAGACTACATGCCCACATAAATTCCAGCAAAATGGTGTTACAAAATACAAACATCGTCATATATTGAATGTTACTCGTACTCTCATGTTTAACATGCATATACCCAAACCTTACTGGGCAGACGCTGTTCTTACTACGATTTATCTTATTAATTGAATGCCTTCATCCATCCTCAGTAACAGCTCTCCATTCTCATTGCTCTATCTTGATACATCACTTTTTAGTCTAACTCCTCGGGTCTTTGGCTGTGTTTCATTTGTTCACCTCCTTGGTTCGAGTTGGGATAAACTCTCACCCCCCATACGATAAAATGTATATACTCTCGTAATCATAAAGGATATCGTTGTTGTGACCCTGTCTCTCATAGATACTATGTCAGTGCCGATGTCACTTTTTTTTAGTCATCCTTTTTTTTTTTGCCTTAGGAACTACTCTATCTCCAGATTTAATATCTACTAGTAAGGGGAGCTCATATTGCCACTTATACCCGATTGTGTACCTTCTTCCACTCTGGCTCCCTTGCCGGTTTACCGCCGTACCATGGATACACAGATTGTTCCATATGCTCCAGCTCCCCGGCTAATGCCTACTTTTATTGATTTGCCTATAGTATTGTATAAAGGTACTCGTACTTGTACCCATCATCCTATTTCTAATTTTGTATACTTGCATAATTTTTTCTCACCCTTTCACTATTTTGCATCAGTTTTATCTTCTATATTTATTCCTAGTTCTTTGACACTGACATTATCATCTCCTGGATAGAAGTTGGTTATGAATGAGAAAATTAAGGCACTTCACGACATACATACTGGGGATCTCACTTCTCTTCCGTCTGGTAAGCATACTGTCAATTGTCACTGGGTCTACATTGCGAAATATCATCCTGATGGATCTGTTAAGCATTTGAAGGCACAGTTGGTTGCTAAGGACTACATCCAAACATATGGTATTGATTATTGTGAGAATTTCTCTCATGTCGCCCGTCTTAATTTTATTAGACAGTTAGAGTTCTTATATCTGTTGTAGTCTATTGTGACTGGCCCTTGTATCAATTAGACATAAAGAATGCATTTTTACATGAAAATTTACAAGAGAAGGTATATATGACTCAACCACCAAGATATGTTGTCACGGGTCAAGAACAATTAGTGTATCGGTTGAAGAAATTAGTGTCGGTTGAACAATTAGTATGCAATTTATAGCTTGCAGCAATTACCACGTGCTTGATTTGATAAGTTTAGCATTGTTGTGGTGTAGTTTGATTTTTAACGTTCTACATAAGATCATTTAGTCTTTATTCATCGATCTTCTGTAGACATTATCATTGTTATTGTGTATGTTGACAATATCATCATTAGTGGTAATGACTTGAATGGTATTGCCCATTTCAAGACCTATTTGGAAAAGCAGTTTTACACCAAAGATTTGAGTCTTCTTCGGTACTTCCTAGGGATTGAGGTTGTCTGGTCAAAGAAAGGCATCAATTTGTGTTAAAGAAAGTACATATTGGACTTACTACCTAATACTAGCACTCTATGGATTCTACGATTAAGTTAGATTCTAAGAGTAGAAAAGTGTTTGATGATATAGGACGTTATTGGAAGTTGCCTGAAAATTTAATTTATCTCACAGTTACACGCTCGGATATTACATATGATGTTAGAATGGTTAGTCAATTCGTGCATGCTCCTAGTGAGCCTTATTGAGAGGTTGTCTTTTTTTTGGGGGGGGGGGGCAGGAGAGGGAGAGAGAGAGACTTGAATTCTTAACCTCAAGAAGACAAAATCTTCACAAGACAAGGAATACTATTGGACCAAAGACCCATTGGTATTGAGAGATTGTCTGTCGCATACTTTGACACCTGAAAGCAGCTGCTGGGAAAGGATTGTTATATCACCCATAATCATCTATAACTGTTGTTGGTTTTTATGATGTTGACTGGGCAAGCAATCTTAGTAATACACGATCTATATCTGGTTATTGTTCATTTGTTGAAAATAATCTTGTTACCTGACACAATAAGAATCATAATGTGGTTGCGGATTCTAGTGCGAAGGCTAAATATCGTGCTATGGCTCATACTGCTTATGAGATGTTATAGGTTCGTTATTTGCTCCGAGATATGGGACTTGATGTACCTTCTCTTATGAAGATGCATTGTGACAATCAAGCAAAGATTTTCATTGCAAGTAATACGGTATTTCATGAGCGTATTGAACACATTGAGGTGGATTGTCATTTCATCCGAGATCTAGAAAAAATAGATTATCACTCTATATATTAAGTCTGGTGAGCAACTGGGTGACATTCTTACCAAGTCATTGGCTCAATCGACCTTTAGTAGTTTATGTTCCAAGCTAGACATTTTTTTATCTTAATGCTCTAGCTTAAGGGAGAGTGTTTAGCATGGATGCCTTTGAATCTTTTCCCTTTCATGTCAAGAAAAAATGCCCTTGTCAAAAGATAAACTTTTGCTTAACTATGTTCACTTAGATTGAGTGGCAATGCCTCTAAATTCATTAGTTAAGCAGAATGCAGTCATCCTAGCCTCCTTGGCAATGCAAAAGCAAAACTAAGGAGAAACCAATAGTAACTAGAGCCAGATGATCCATAATAGGATTTCAGATCATCTGAGACAGAAGATAATAATGCAATAGTGAAGTAATTATGTGGTGAAAACAGAAAAAAAAAATCTTGTTTTCATGTTAAGAGGTAATCGAAGAGCTTTTGCTCATAACTCCAACTCAAGGGATAAAAAGAGGTGTTTCCAAAAGTCATACAGTATATCATATTAAATATTAATTGGAAAACTGAAAGACTAGTCACGTAATAAAATATCAAATACTAGGAAATAAAAGAACATGTCTACAATGTGGATCCTCAATCATTAAAAAAAAAGTGGTCAGGCATAACAAAATATAAGGTTAAGATTTTGAGTGAGTTTGCACGAACAAAAGAGAATAATNCAAAATCTTCACAAGACAAGGAATACTATTGGACCAAAGACCCATTGGTATTGAGAGATTGTCTGTCGCATACTTTGACACCTGAAAGCAGCTGCTGGGAAAGGATTGTTATATCACCCATAATCATCTATAACTGTTGTTGGTTTTTATGATGTTGACTGGGCAAGCAATCTTAGTAATACACGATCTATATCTGGTTATTGTTCATTTGTTGAAAATAATCTTGTTACCTGACACAATAAGAATCATAATGTGGTTGCGGATTCTAGTGCGAAGGCTAAATATCGTGCTATGGCTCATACTGCTTATGAGATGTTATAGGTTCGTTATTTGCTCCGAGATATGGGACTTGATGTACCTTCTCTTATGAAGATGCATTGTGACAATCAAGCAAAGATTTTCATTGCAAGTAATACGGTATTTCATGAGCGTATTGAACACATTGAGGTGGATTGTCATTTCATCCGAGATCTAGAAAAAATAGATTATCACTCTATATATTAAGTCTGGTGAGCAACTGGGTGACATTCTTACCAAGTCATTGGCTCAATCGACCTTTAGTAGTTTATGTTCCAAGCTAGACATTTTTTTATCTTAATGCTCTAGCTTAAGGGAGAGTGTTTAGCATGGATGCCTTTGAATCTTTTCCCTTTCATGTCAAGAAAAAATGCCCTTGTCAAAAGATAAACTTTTGCTTAACTATGTTCACTTAGATTGAGTGGCAATGCCTCTAAATTCATTAGTTAAGCAGAATGCAGTCATCCTAGCCTCCTTGGCAATGCAAAAGCAAAACTAAGGAGAAACCAATAGTAACTAGAGCCAGATGATCCATAATAGGATTTCAGATCATCTGAGACAGAAGATAATAATGCAATAGTGAAGTAATTATGTGGTGAAAACAGAAAAAAAAAATCTTGTTTTCATGTTAAGAGGTAATCGAAGAGCTTTTGCTCATAACTCCAACTCAAGGGATAAAAAGAGGTGTTTCCAAAAGTCATACAGTATATCATATTAAATATTAATTGGAAAACTGAAAGACTAGTCACGTAATAAAATATCAAATACTAGGAAATAAAAGAACATGTCTACAATGTGGATCCTCAATCATTAAAAAAAAAGTGGTCAGGCATAACAAAATATAAGGTTAAGATTTTGAGTGAGTTTGCACGAACAAAAGAGAATAATGGTTGAGATGGTTAGGTCATGTTTAAAAAAGCCAATGAGTACAACAATGATAGTAAACGGATGCAGTGTAGGACACTTGAAGATGAGGAAAAGCACAAAGTTGTGCTTCAAGTATTGCAAAAAGGCATCCACTAATTCAACACAAAACTATGACACTAGACAAGATGATTCACTGTTTCAGTACTGTTGTTTCAACCCAGCCTGAGTGAATGCTCTAAGGTTATAAAAGCTTGCAAAATAGGCACATGTGTGTGGGTGTTGGTATGTGTCTATATGCAAACATGCATAGTTCTCACCTAGGATTAAGCACACAATTCCATTTGGCAACATAACAAATTCTAGGCAACCGTCTCACAAATCACAAACCTTACACAAACCTTAGAAGAAATACACTTGTTTAAAAACCAGAAAAGTGCTCAAGGTCAGTCAACAACTTAATTTATGTATCAAGCAGCTCTCTAACCAACAAAACCACTAACACATTAAATTAAATCCAAGAATGAAGACTTACAAACAATTACATTCAGAAAAAAAATTTATGCTTCATTGATGACACATGAAAGCTAGAAAATGGATTGTCAGTTACAAAACATACCATATGCACAGTGGATAAAAATCGGCGTTTTCTGAGCTCTCTTTCTACAAGCCCACTTAACAGCAGATTCAATATCACCCGGCTGAGGTGACCTGGTATCCCAAGTAGGAATGCACAAATATGCATGTCCTGAGACTTCCAAATTCCTTGGCAATTCACAGGTGCAATCAATAATGGCAGGGTTACCGGGTGGCAATACTTCTGGGGCATTAGGCCACCCTCCAACATACAAACCCTCAGATACTTCACTATAAGGAGCTTCTCCACTCCTCATTCTTCTCAATGCCGAAAAGGCCCGGACAAAGTACAAGTATGGACTGAACATAATCAATGACCAAATTGGGAATGTCCCATCTGAATCTTTCCCCAAAAGCATTGGGAGATTGATGGATGGGTGAGAAGCAATTGCCACCAAGAAAGACACCAAAGATGCATATAAAAAGGGTATTGATAACAGAGCGAAACCAAGTGATCTGAGATATGCAAAAGACAAGAATAGAAGTGCTGCCTTCATACCTATCAGAACAGATATACCCACACCCATTTTTTCCTTGACCCTAACTTAAAAACTGGGAACAAAAAAAGAAAAGGAAACTCAAATTTGGCAATCCTCAGAAACTTCTGAAATTTTCCAAAATGGGTCTTTCTAAGTTTGTTCTCACCATCAAGCACTAAAGAAGATGAAGATGACAGAATTAAGAGCTATATCAGATCAAAGACGCAAAACATAGTCAGGAAAGGAAAACAACATAGAGATCCAGTTGCTGAAAGAAGAAAATACAGGTCAGCCACTGATTAGACGAGGACATCCACAAAATCGTAGCGAAGGTTCGCGAGGAAGAACACAAGCAAGGTGAGTGAGGATGGTGGTTAGTCAATATTCACGGATTGGATGTTATAAACGACTTCTAGGTATCTGTTCTCACGCTCTAGCATATGTCGGCTCGGTACAGAAATGGGACCCATCCATTTAAGCTCTCGTACGAAAATTCATCTCCTCCGATTTGTTCATCCACCTGGTTATTTCTCCTTCGTTGATTGGTTGGGTGTCCATCCCTTCCGTACTTTTTTGTCGACATCTTTAATTTAAACTTTATTTCCAATTTTAATTTCATCTCTCAATTCTTAATTGTCTTTATTTATTTTTTTAATTAATTTTATCTCAATTAAGTCTTTTTATCAATTTTTATTGTTAGATCAATCGTAAACTAGCTCAATATGATCTATTTCAAATATTAAATCATATGTTTTGTTTAATTTAAAAGAGAAAATGAACGAAAAAGCTTAATTGAAACAAAATTAATATTTAAGAAATTAAAGTAGGACAATTGAAAGTTCATAAATAAAATTAAAACTGAAGTCAAAATTTAAATACTATTCTTTTTATCTTTTTTTTTTTCCTTTATCTTCATCTTTTTCTTTTTTGGGTGGTGTTTTTTCTTTTTTTGACTTTCGCGTATCTTCCACCATTATGTAATTATCAAAACTAGATAATAAGGTAACAAAAAGTTACCTATGTGTAAAACACAATGGATAATTGATGGACATATTTCAATTGGAGGGTGAGATTAGACCAAATTAGTCTAATTAAATTTTAAAATCATGTTGTATGATCTGGTCTTGCAATAGTAGTTATAGGTGGAGGAGTTAAAGTGATAGGGTTAACACATGAGTCTAATGCTAATATCTCAATAGGATGAACGAGATAGATAGTTGGGATAAAAAGACTCAAACTGACTATTGACTGATCGGACAAATCTCTAGGCAAAAGATTTCTCGCGTAGGCAGAGTAAATGAAGATTCTCCGACCAATCAAATTGTATTTGTTAGACAAGTAAGTATTTGTGCATTAGGGGCGACAACCTTCGGTATGCTAAGGCTTGCCCGTGACTATCTCTGTCTAGTGGTCAACGTCGTACATGAAAGTTGAGTTATGTTGCAACCACCTCAACTACATCTATATAGAGGATCGTGTGTTGTGCATTAGGTGACCCAAAAATTAATTACTCAAACAAATGTGACGTTTCATCGGATACAATCTAGACTTAGTCCTCAAGTGAGGAGCACACTGTCTGGCGTAAGGGGTGACTTCTGAGGTGAGATGTGACGACCGGGTCACCACGAGGCATCATGACCGCGAAGGGGCCATTGTCGTATTGGCCCCCTCCCCCCACACACACATACTGCAGAGCCTCCTCTCCCCTCAGAACTGTATCTGAGGTGCGCACCATAATACTTGCTCAAGGAACTTTGCATAGTATTAGTCTTTTAGCCACCAATCCACTTGTCCTAATATCTCATATGTTAGTTCCAACTATTTGACCCCTTGTATCTCAAGAATCTCTCCAGATCTTAGACAAACACAACCTAGTGAGTAGTGAGTCATACACTCGAAATTCGTACTCAAAAAACTATTGAAGCCCTAACTGAAATTGAGGTCGAAAGACATGCTAATCCATCCACGCCGCTTAGTTCTCACTTGAGGAGAGTCATACTACCTTATCTTAGGGCATGAGCTTCTTCTCTCAATCTCTTAGGCCAATCAAATAATGGTGTACCACATATTAACTCTAACACTGGGGACATCCAATGGGTTTCTGGTGTTCTCTAAGGGGTCTTTGCCCTAGATGTGTACCCCTTGAGTATTTACTAGGTATGTATTTTTCAGTATTCAAGTGACCCCAACCATAGGCATTTACTTCCATGACAAGGGAGACAGACTAGCTATGTTGCACCAAGAGTGCCCCTAAATGCTTGTGGTGGTGATCTTGTTTTGTAGACAAAGATCCTATATTCCACAAGTAAAAGTATGATTGTCATGCCATATTGGGTTATGGTCATCGTGGTGAGGGGGCGTGTCTAGTCTTCCCGCATCATTGCTACTTTACCACAACATTATCTATGCCTCGAGGGCAAAGTTATTGTTACTCAAATGAGGAGTCTGGTCCTGCCACGTAAGCTCGCCAGCTCTCCCTTGACTTACCATGTGTCTGCTTATGGTTAACCCACGTATCAAGGTTTTTATGGGCTACTACAGTAATTAGTTTATCCTGTACTATAATATCAGATAACACCGCATACACTATACAAATTAATTCCATTTAATAGGTGGTATAAAAACAATCTTGATTGGAATTAAGATTAAAATTAACTAAAGTGCCGCTGACTTGGTTTTGGATGAGATTGGATTTAAGGTTTTTTCGTCTTGTGTAATTATATATTTTGTAGTAATCGTAACGCCCCGAATTCCATCATTTGGGCGTTTTCTATTTACAAACCATCAAACTATGAGAATAACTAAAAATCATACAAAACTATAACAAAACCATTCACCATTCATCATAGATAAATAAAATTCCCAAAACTAACCAAAGTAAATTTCTCCACGCTTGTATACAAAACATCTAAATAATACAATTTTTCAAAATAAACTATTAACTATTGAATGCTTATGACATCACCAAATAATTAATTCAAAATTAATCAATTGTAGAAATAACTCTAAGCCTCGCCACTGGGATCACCATCTTGATCGACTATGTTCTCAAAATTCACCTGCTAATTCAATTCAACATCATCCTTTGTGCCAAAATCTATAAATGTTGTTGTAGGAAGTGAGCAAAAGTTCATAGGAAATCTCTCTTAAATCCAACAAGGTTTTTAAAGTATAAAACTGAGAAGTCTCTTTTGAAAAATAGAATATATAATTTTTAGAAATAAAGCAATATTAGTTGTAACGATCTCAAGTTTACAAACCACATTAATTCAATAACATAAGTAAACATTTAGGAATTAGAGTAAATAAAGAATAATTAGAGTAAGTAAACTTCATCTCAAGTGTCTCATATATGTTGGTTGCTTCTCAACAATCTACACAATAAACCTACCTCATTCACCTACCACAAACACAAACACAAACAATCTAAATCATTCTTTGGAGGGTCACATCACAAATAAAACTTTAGGAAGGGCGTTCAACATCTCATACGACATTGACAAATCTATTCTCAAGAAAGGTATAACATCTCTTAGTCTCGGACCTACGTGAACAATAATAGTTGACCTCTCAAGGAAACAAGCCCTTACAAATGTTGGGCAACCATCACGACCCACTAGGATAGATTAACCTCTAATAATTTATGAAAACTTTCGAAGGCAATCTAAGTCTGTCACACCCAAACCATACAAGAGATAAGAACCACAATTAATCCAATTTTACAATTCTCAATGTACAAGAATAAAAGAATTAAAATATGCAAGAGATTGTATCAAGAAAAGTCTTCATAATTGCAATATCAGGATATCTATGATTTTGCCAAAAATCTCAATTTCTTAGAAATAAAACAAGTATTTGAGTATAAACATGATTTAGTCAAGAAATAGAAGTTAGAAATCAAGAAGCTAAATGATTTAGTGAGAATTCCCCCCTCACTAGCAACTGGAAATATTTATCAAGTCTTAGCAATGGTTGCACTTATCTACGGTAATAGGCTTGTAAGCATATCTGCTGCATTATTAGACGTGTGAACCTTCTCAAGTATCACCTCTCCAGTAGCAAGCAACTCCATGATCTTGTGAAACCTCACATCTATATGCTTGGTTCTGGAAAGATACACTTGGTTCTTTGCCAAGTAAATGTCACTCTTGTTGCGCAATGAATCATGATTCCTTCTTGCTTTATTCCAAGCTCCTTGACTAGCCCATTCAACCATAGTGCTTCTTTGGTAGCTTCAGTAACTACCATATACTCTTCCTCAGGTATGGACAGCGCTACAAGTGACTGAATTGTGGATCTCCAACAAATAGGTCCACCTGCTAGTGTGAAAACTTAGCCTGTGTGGGAATTTTTGTCATCAAGGTTACCTGCATAATCTGTATCCACATATCACTCAACTAAAACAACATCATGTCGCTTCTCAAACATGATACCACAATCAACTGTACCCCTTAAGTACATGAAAATTCATTTTATAAACTTCCAATGCTCTCTGCCAGGATTTGCCATGTACTTGCTCACCATATTCACTGTATAACCCAAATCTGGTATGTTACACACCATAACATATATCAAACACCCTACTGCATTTGCATAGGGCATCTTTGACATATCAACAATTTCTTCCTCTGTCTTCGGGCACTAACTGGCAGACAATCTAAAGTGATTCGTCTATAGTGTACTCACTAGTTTTGCATTGTCCATGCTAAACCTGTTTAACACCTTTTTCACATAATCCTTCTAAGACAACCATAACTTCTTGGATTTTCTATCCCGACCAATCTCCATGTCAAGAATCTTCTTAGCAGCCCCCAAGTCTTTCATGTCAAACTTCTTGCTCAACAAAACTTTAACATGTTTACCTCAACCATGCTCTTAGTAGCAAACAACATATCATCCACATACATCATCAAGAAAATATATGTACCATCATCAAGAACTCTGCAGTAAGCACAACAATCATACTCACATCGACTGTAGCCAATCTGAAACATGTAAGAATCGAACTTTTTATATCATTGCCTAAGATATTGCTTGAGCCCATATAA